AAATTTCGGTTTCTGATTTGGGCAAGAAAAAGGCCATCGGGCCATCATTTTATTTCTTTGGTCCGAAGGCCATCCGGCCCAACCGAAAGTCCAGAGAAGCGAGCAGGCCAACCCGTCTTCTTATCACTCAAACCCAACCAAAAAATCATGGGCTCTGACCTCCTAGCCCAACCGAAAATAAGAAACAAGCCCACAAAATAAATAAAAATTAGCCCAACCCACTTTTTTTTTTCTTTTCTTTTTCTTCTTCTTCGGCTAGCTGAAGAAGCTTCAGCTGGCAGCCATGGCAGCTGCCGGTGGTGCCGCCGCCGGCCACCGGCGAATTTTCCGATCGTCCAAAATTGCCAAAATACACCCCCTCACTCCATTTTTCGCGTAGATTCCATTTTCGGAGTTATTTTTTATAGAAAATGATCCGAAAGTGGTCAAATGGCCAAAAATAGTCGCGATTTTTATTTTTTTATTTTTATTTATTTTTTAAAATATCATATCCTTCACCAAAAATCATAAAAATTATACTATAACACTCCTTACAACTTCTACAATACAACTATGATTTAATCTGACAAGAAAACAACATAAAAAAAACTAAAATAAGGCAAAACAGCCCCTTAAAATTTTTTTTTGTTATTTTGGCATTTTTCAAACAATTAACATGCATTCACCGAAATCATTTTTTTTCTTAATGTTTATTCATGGCTTCCCCAAAAATTCAACAACATCAGTAGCAACAACAAACGAAGCCAAGGGACAAACAAAATCAAATCATGTATTTAATTTAATAAATTAAAGAAAGGAAAAAGCTGGAAAAAAGATAAAAAGAATAAATACCTCAATGAAGATTGTAGTCTCTTGATTAAAATTTGATGAAATTACAAGCTCCAATCATTTTTATTGGCCTTGCCCTGTCCAAGAGAAAATCTGAGAGTGAGTGTTTTATTTGCTAAAAATGAGAGGGAGAATCTGAGAGAGAGAGCCGAGAGATTTTTTTTCTTCCCTTTCTTCTGCACCCGAGGCCTGAGAGAGGGAGCAAATGAGGGGGTTTCTTGCAATTTTCTTCTTCTGCTTCTTTGTCCGAGAGAATCCAGAGAGAGAAGTTGAGAGAGTGGAGACCGAGAGGAGCCAGGGATCCCTCTTTTCGTCCGTTTGTTGAGAGCCAGGGGCCTCCGCTGCAAAAATTTCTTTCCTTCTCTCTTGTTCTGTTGCTCCACCGAGAGAGAATGAGGCAGGGACCTCCTGAGCAATTTTTCCTTCCGCCCCTTTTTCTGTCCAGGTCCGAGAGAGAATTGAGAGAGTTTTTTTTTTCTTTTCGGTCCAGAGCTCCCAATGAGAAAGAGAGAGAGAAGTGGAGTCCAGGGAGTTTTCTGCAAAAATTTCTTAGCCTTCTTTTTTTTCGTCCGTTGGCAGCCTTGGTCAAAAAGAAAAGAAAGAAAATCATCATGGGAGGCATCATGACGACCAAGGTCATCATGATGTCTCCACTATCTTTTTTTATTATTTTTAAAAAAAAACTGATTTTGTTTTTCTTTTCTGTTTTTTTTTTAAATAAACCTGCAAATATAAGAAAAAATTTGCATTAAAATGTTAGAAAATAAATAATCCATTAAATAGAAAAATTCAAGAAAATATTAAAAATTGAAAAAATTTTGGTGTCTACACCTTGCCCCTCTTTGTCTCGCGTTTCGAAGAAATTCAAGATAAAGACGTAGACACCAAGTTACTTACCTGTGTCTTCTAACTGCACCTGAACTAAAACAACAAGCCAACAATTGGCTGAAATTATTGAACAAAATGATGCAATGAAATTTCAAAACACGTGACCGAACTCATGTAGAGTTGCCTACGTATCCCGCCATGGGAATCAGGTCAAACGTAATTCGAATACCAATGAACTATAATCAAACAAGTGCATTGACCATATGTGATCTTTGCGAAGTCAAAGAAGTCTGAGCTCTCAGAACTTCTTAACATGAAACACAAAAATGAATGAGAAAGCACAAAAGTAAATTGTCATAACTAAAAAAAGATGCGTGAAGGGACGCGGTTACGCTCCAACAGGAAATTAAATGCGAATTTTTTTTTTTGAAAAATATGTGCGGAGGGACGCAGTTACGCTCCAACAGAAAATTAAATTTATCAAGAAGAGAGGTAGAAGGGTGCGCGGTAGACGCTGAGACTCACCAACAGAAAATTAAATTTGATCTTCTGATTTGCCAAGAAGGGGAGATAGAAGGGTGCGCGGTGGACGCTGATACTCACCAACAGGAATTTAAATTGTCAAGAAGGGCGATAGAGGGGTGCGCGGTGGACGTTGAGCCTCACCAACAGAAAATTAAATTTGATCTTCTGATTTGCCAAGAAGGGGAGATAGAAGGGTGCGCGATGGACGCTGAAACTCACTAACAGGAATTTAAATTTGATTTTCTGATTTGCCAAGAAGGAGAGATAGAAGAGTGCGCGGAGGACGCTGAGACTCACCAACAGGAATTTAAATTGTCAAGAAGGGAGGTAGAAAAGTCCGCGGTGGACGCTGAAACTCACCAACAGAAATTTAAATTGTCAAGAAGGGGGATAGAGGGGTGCGCGGTGGACGCTGAGGCTCACCAACAGAAAATTAAATTTGATCTTCTGATTTGCCAAGAAGGGGAGATAGAAAGGTGCGCGGTGGATGCTGAGACTCACCCACAGAAATTTAAATTTGATCTTCTGATTTGCCAAGAAGGGGAGATAGAAGGGTGCGCGGTGGATGCTGAGACTCACCAATAGGAATTTAAATTGTGAAGAAGGGAGGTAGAAGGGTGCGCGGTGGATGCTGAGACTCACCAACAGGAATTAAATTTTGATCATCGAGAAATAATAGATTGGTGGGATATGATCCGAACCTAATTAATAGATTGGTAGGATACGATTCGAGCCCAATTAAAATAACATATTGGTGGAATATGCCCCGAACCCAATTGATAGATTGGTGGGGTACGTTCCGAACCCAATTGAATGATACATTGGTGGGATAAGTCCCGATCCCAATTGAAATGAAATATTTTCAAATGAAATTTGATTGTCAAGCAGGGGGATAGAAGGGTGTGCGGTGGACGCTGAGACTCACCAACAGGAATTTAAATTTGATTTTCTAGAAAAAGATACGCGGAAGGACGCAATTACGCTCCAACAGGAAATCAAATTGTCAAGAAAGGGAGATAGAAGGGTGCGCGGTGGACGCTGAGACTCACCAACAGGAATTTAAATTGTAGAGAAGAGAGATAGAAGGGTGCGCGGTGGATGCTGAAACTCACCAACAGAAAATTAAATTTGATTTTTGTCAAGGATCTAGGTAGTTCAATGGGACTGAATTCAAAACCAGATGCCTATCAAGAGAATGAAAATATGCTCGAAACTTGGTGGACTTACAATCTCTTTATGATTTTCGAACAAGAAAGGAAATAGTGATTTTTTCTTTTCTTTCTTTGAAAATGCACAGCGAAACTTGAGCTCAATCCTTCTATCGTTTGCCCCAGTGTGAATCATGCTCAACTAAACCAATATTGTGTCACATAATTTTTCCTGTAAAAAGGAAAAAAAAGAAAAGAAACAACTGTGATAGAAAAGTGCCACCACCATGTGATCCATTTGCCTTGAGTGCCGTGTAAACATGAGTTTCAATATCAACAAATTGCTCTCTTAGATTTGGTCCACAACCTCTTTAGAGTCTTTGCAACCTTCTAATATCAGTTATCCAAACTTTATTATCATAGCACCTTCAATTTCCTGACTCCTTTGGGATAAACTATAGGGGATTGTCTTTTGAATAAGATCCAATCAATGAGAAAAAAAAATGTATTATGCATCATGCGATAATGTTGATATGAAATAAATAATGGTACCTAATAAATACAATAGTAAAAAAAATAAAATAAAATTGTTAGATTTATAAACACGGGTCCAAAGATCAAAAGTTGGACACATATTTAGAGGACAGCCTTTGATGAAGATAAGTGCTCCATCTGACCTCTTCGACGTCATCCATTTTGGAATTCATTGTCGGCAAAAGAACAACAGTATGAAAGAGACCCAAATCAACATAGTCACCAGCTCTCAGACGTCAGTATCTTTTTCTTCATTGATGATTCTCTTGTGTTCCAAAACCTTACTTCAGCGCCCTTTCGGGTTTTCACTAAGGTTACCCCCACCTATTTTCTTTTTCTTCTTTTTTTCTTCTTTTTTTTCCTTTTTTTTTCTTTTTTTTTCTTTTTTTCAAAGGTGTCTTTTCAAGTTTTAACCTTGAGACATAGACAAGAACATTTTAACCCCAACTGTATCAATCCAGTCATGCTTTGATAATTTGTGGCATCAGTAAGACAAGCATCTCTGACATATTTCAGAAAAGTTGTATTTACATCATTTGCCAATTGATTAAGAAATTTTTTTTCTCAAAATACTGCAAAAGATGAAAGTAGACAACTTTGAGCTCTTGTAACTAGGATTGGATGAAATAGTGAAGGAAATGTTGAGACTTGAATGTGGATCTTATGATGGGTTTGCAATCATTTGAAATAGCATTCTTTCGAAAACTTGCTCCGATCTAGGGTTGAAAGATATAAAATTTGCCTCAGTTTAATTATAATCCAATTTTTCTATTTTTCTTTTCTTTTTCTTTTTGCTTTTTTTTTCTTTCTTTTCCTTTTTTTTTCAAAGAAACAAAATTGCCCCGGTATGGGGGTTAGTGATCTTAAGGGGCTGCCAAGTGAGAACAAAAAATGGTGCTGAAAAGTCAAAAATGGGAGAAATTAGAAATAGGATATCGAAATGAAAAAAAAAAAAAATGAAAGGAAGTATGCCTTGAATCCGTCTCTTGCAGTATTTTTAAAAGAAAATTTTTATAATCAAATGAAAAACTTTTTGCACATGTCTGCATTGATTGGTTGGAGAAAAACTTGACCGTCCATTTCCATAAGGATAAGCACTCCTTCGGATAGCCCTTTCTTAACAATGAATGGTCCTTGTCAATTGGGAGCAAACTTCCCTTTAGCCTCATCTTGCATTGGAAGAATCCGTTTCAAAACCTTATCTCCAACTTCAAACAAACAGGGCCTGACTTTTTTGTTGTAAACCCGAGCCATTCGTTGCTGATAACATTGTCCATGACAGACGGCATTCAATCTCTTTTCATCAATCAGAGACAACTGCTCCTGACATTCTCTGACCCATTCAGCTTCTTCTATCTGAGCTTCTATCAGAATGCGTAAGGAAGGAATTTCAACCTCTGCAGGCAGGACTGCTTCCATTCCATACATAAGAGAGTAAGAAGTTGCACCAGTAGAAGTTTTGATGGTAGTTCTGTACGCCATTAGTGCATAAGGCAGCTTCTCATGCCAATCCCGGTGTGCTTCAGTCATCTTACGAATAATCTTTTTCAAATTCTTATTTGCAGCTTCGACAGCTCCATTCATCTGAGGCCTGTAAATGGCAGAATTTTGATGCTTAATATTGAACTGTTCACATAATCCATCTACCATATCATTGTTGAGGTTCTTGGCATTATCAGTGATTAATGTTTCCGGTACCCCAAAACGACAGATGATATTATTTTTCAAGAAATCCGACACCACTTTCTTAATCACATGCTTATAGGACGCGGCCTCAACCCATTTGGTGAAATATTCAATGGCCACTAGAATGAATCGATGCCTATTCGAAGTAGGAGGATCAATTGCTCCAATCACATCCATTCCCTAGATCGAACATGGCCATGGAGCAGTCATGCTATGCAGTTCTGTAGGAGGAGCACGTATAACATCACCATGCATTTGACACTTGACACATTTTCTGACAAAATCTATACAATCATGCTCCATAGTAAACCAAAAATATCCTGATCTCATGATCTTTTTAGCCAGTAGATGCCCATTCATGTGTGGGTCGCAAACCCCACTATGCACTTCTTTCATTATATAATTAGCTTCCTCTTCATCAATGCATCTCAAAAGGCCCAAATCTGATATTTTCTTGTATAGCACTTCTCCATTTAAGAAGAATCTCGAGGACACTCTGCATAAGAAACCTTTTGTAACAGAATCGGCATCAGGAGGGTAGGATCTCGTTTTTATGAATTCCTTAATGTTATTGTACCAAGAGCGACCATCGGTGACCCTTTCCGTAACCAGACAGTGCGCCGGCCTATTCTGAAGTTGAATCTGTATAGGTTCAATCACCAATTCATCTGGATGTTAGATCATCGAAGACAGAGTAGCTAAAGCATTAGCAAAGGCATTACGAATGCGGGGAATATGTCTGAGCTCCAAATTCCTGAATTTGCTGGCCAAACTAAGTAAGTTACAATGATGCAGCATAATTTTTGAATCTCGAGTTACCCACTGCTTAAGCGTCTGGTGCACAAGTAAATCGGAATCACTGAATGCTATCAGATCCTTGATCTCCATGTCCAATGCCATTTTCAATCCAAAAATACAAGCTTCATACTCGGCCATGTTGTTGGTACAAGGAAATCGTAATTTGGCAGTAGCAGGATAGTGTTTCCCTTCAGGCGACACTAAAACTGCTCCAATTCCAGCTCCGAAAGAATTTGACACGCCGTTGAAAAATAACCTCCATCTAGGATACTGCTCACTCATGTCCTCAACTATTCCAACGAACAGAATTTTTTCATCAGGAAAGTAGGTATATAATGGCTGGTAATCATCATCTCTTGGATTTTCTGCCAAATGATCTGCTATGGCTTGACCCTTGACTGCCTTTTGTGTTGTGAAGATAATGTCGAACTCGGAAAGGATCATTTGCCACTTAGCCATACGTCCCGTGGGCATCGACTTTTCCAACAGGTATTTTAGAGGATCAGAACGAGAAATCAAGTAAGTGGTATAATCGAGCAAATAATGTCTCAACTTCTGAGCTGCCCATGCTAAAGTACAACAACTCCTTTCAAGAAAAGAATAGTTAGTCTCATATGCGGTAAATTTCTTACTCAGATAGTAGATGGCTTGTTCCTTTCTCCCAGACTCATCATGCTGTCCCAGAACGCATCCAACAGCCTCATCAAGAACAGACAAATACATAATCAGAGGTTTCACTGGATGAGGTGGCACTAAGACCGGAGGATTTAACAAGTAATTCTTGATCTTATCAAAAGCTTGCTGACAATCTTCATTCCACTCCATCGACGCATTATTTTTCAACAGTTTGAACAAAGGCTCACAGGTAGAGATTAATTGTGCAATGAATCGGCCAATGAAATTGATCTTTCCAAGAAAACTCTTCACATCTTTTTGATTTTTTGGAATGGGCATATCTCGAATTGCTTTTATTTTTGCAGGATCTATCTCTATACCCTTTTTGCTGACAATAAAACCCAATAATTTGCTAGTTGGGGCTCCAAAAGCACATTTTGCAGGATTCAACTTCAAATTATATCTTCTCAATCTTTCAAACAGTTTCTTTAAATCAACTAGATGGTCTTCGACCTTGTTGGATTTAATTATGATATCATCCACATAAACCTCCATCTCTTTGTGAATCATGTCATGGAACAGGGTAGTCATGGTTCTCTGATAAGTGGCTCCAGCATTCTTCAACCCGAAAGGCATCACTCGATAACAAAAGGTTCCCCATTGGGTGATAAAAGAAGTTTTCTCCCTATCTTCTTCTGCCATTAAGATTTGATGATACCCAACAAAACAATCACCAAAAGATTCAATTTCGTGTCCAGCAGTATTGTCCAAAAGAACATGAATATTTGGCAACGAAAAATCATCTTTCGGACTGGCCTTATTCAAATCTCTATAATCAACACATACTCGCACCTTCCCAGATTTTTTAAGCACTGGCACAGGATTCGAGAGCCAGATGAGGTAATGAGACACCACGATTATCTTGGCATTGAGCTATTTCACAATTTATTCTTTTATCTTGAAACTCATTTCTGGTTTGAATTTACGTGGCTTCTGCTTCATAGGTAAAACATTTGGATCAGTTGACAATCCGTGAACCACTATATCCGTAGAGATCCCTGGCATATCATCATATGACCATGTAAACACGTCTTGAAATAGCATTAAGAATTCGATCATTTCCTCCTTCTACTTCTTTTTCAAATGAATGCTGACTTTAACTTCTTTAACCTCCGTTTTAGTGCCAATATTGATGATTTCTGTTTCTTCTAAGTTGGGCTTGGGTTTCTCTTCATACTGTTCTAAATCCCTTGAAATGGACTCAAATTCCTCCTCAGTATCGCTCTCATTTTGAATTTCAGATTGCATGATTTCAAATTCATGAGAGATATTGAGATTGCAGCCATCGAATTCCAAAATGGTGACATCCAAAGAGTCAAAGGGTTTTATTTGTGGCTATCTAAAAATAAAATAGAACATACGTAATAAATAAATAGAAAATACAAGAGAAATCTTCCATTTTATTAAATTCAAAATGCATCGAGGCTTCACAAAAAGACAAATACACAGACACGATTGCCATTTAAAGACATATCCAACTCAAACCTTTATTTTCGTTTCAACAATTTTCTTGAACAAAACAAGCTATATTAACTGAAATGAGAATAAAGCTTCAGAAAGTAAAAGCAATTTATTTTAACAAAAGATCCGGATTACCGTCCAATCTAGATATGAAACTAGACAAAAGACAATCCCCTTAAATTTACCGAAATTCCCTTCGAGAGGGAAGATAATCAGCAATCCAATTTTGAATAGCTCCTTCAGTAATTGGCAAAAATTTTGAATTCTCTGATGGTTCCTCCTCACAAGTTGCCCCGACAAATAATTGAGATAGGTCCATTTCAATCTCCTCCACAGGATTTTTCGTTTCTGGCATGATCACCTCTGATGGTCGAGAAAAAGTGTGATGTAGCGGTGGGACATTTAAGGCAATTTGCTTACCCTTCATTTCAGCTTGTTTTCGAGCTTGCATTTCTTTTCTATCCTTAGCAGTTGGATGAAATCCCAGTCCAAATATATTCTTTTGCGTCGGGATCTTTATTGGCTCCAAAATTCCTTGCAATTCCCGCCCAAGACCTTTTCCTATTTCATATCCGCCTCGGATCATCTCCTTAGCCATCATGATACTGGCCTCTGGCAAATCTGATTTAGTCAGCGACTTATCTCTGGATATCCATTTCACAGAGACGATGTCAGCAACATGATGAGATGAAATTGGAGTCCCTTTTCTGTCTTTCCCTTTGAATTTTGCATCAACGATCATGGTACAGTCATCCTCAGCAAACACAGTAATGAGCTGATCATTCATAATAAATCTCAACATTTGATGCAGAGAAGATGGTACTGAATTGGAAGCATGTATCCAGGGTCTTCCAAGCAAAATATTGTAAACACTGGAGAAATCCATCACTTGGCAAGTAACTTGGAATTGAGCAGGGCCTATCTCCAGAACCAGATCTGCTTCACCCATAGATTCCCTCCTCGAACCATCAAATCCTCGAACCACAGTTGCAGATGGACGGAGTTTAATGTCAAGAAATCCAAGCTTGGTGAGAGTGTTCCATGGACAGATATTCAACGCTGACCCATTATCTACTAAAACCCTTGGCAACAGCTTTCCATTGCAGCGGACTGATATATACAAGGCTCTGTTATGCCCGATCCCTTCTGCAGTCAGAGCATCACCGGAGAAGGCAATATGATTAGCAGCAAGTACATTCCCTACAATGTTAGAAAATTTATCCACCGGAATATCTTTAGAGACTTGAGTTTCATTCAGGATTTTGAGTAATGCATCTCTGTGTAGCTCGGAAGTCAAGAGAAGATTCAGAAAAGAAATCTACGCAGGCATCCTATCCAACTGCTCTACTATTTTGTATCCACTTCTCTTCAGCATCTTTAAGAAATCCACAGCTTCATTTTCAGGCACAAGAGACTTGGGCGTCGGAGATTTAACCTTGGCCTTGGATTGAACGTCTACTTCGGAGTTTCCCACGATTCTCTCAGACGTGGTAATAGTAGATACCTCTTCCTTTAAGTATTTTTTTATCTCCGATCAACAAAATAGACTCCTCGTAGTTCCACGGTACCTCTTGCAAATTATTGACAGGTATTTGTTCCGAAAATTCAAGAACGACAGGCTCTGATATATCCCATTCAAAAGATGGTAAATCCAGAATAAAAGGAACTTTGTCAAGCTCGGAAACTCCCCCTTCTGCTATAAATGGCTCCTCTTTTTCAAATACAAAAGATTTCAATTTTTCCTCAACATCATCATTAGTCATGAACTTCTCAGCAGATAGCGATTTTCTCATTCTCGCATGATCAGTTTCCATTACACCAAACATCTCAGTTTCATCTACAATGTATTGGGTGGAATCGATAAAATCTTCATCAGTCATGATAACTCCTACAGTGCTTCCATGCTCAGGTAAAGGATTCTTACTGACATTGGGTCCTTGTTTTCCCTTTCTTCTAAGAACAATGTCTCTAGAATCAATAATGTCCTGGATCTTATGTTTTAAATCCCAACAATTGCCAATGGTATGACCTGGACTTTCAGAATGATAGGCACAGATTGCTTGTGGATCATAACCGTCAAGAGGACCTCTGGGATAGAGTTTGGGAGGAACAGTGCTAATTTTTCCAGCTGCTCAGACAATTGATCAATGGGTCGGCCCAAATTGGTAAAGGTTCGGAATTGCCTTTGATTTTGAACTCCCTTGGTTTGAAAAGGATTTTGAGAATGGTTATTATTTTGCAGG